CCTCACTCAACTTTTTGTTCATTTAACAAACAAACTTTGAACAAAATAAAATTTTGGATTTTGATTTTGAATTTGGAAGTAGGATTTAAGATTTAGGATTTTAAAAGTATAGAAATCTCTTTTGGAGAGAGATATAAAGGCTTTCAAAGAAAGTTTTGCTCTCTTGATGTCTGTTTTATAAACACTTAATAAACAGATTTATTGATAGTATGAACAAGAAAATTTACAAAAGATTTTTATTTTGAATATTGTGTATGTTTTGAAAGTTTTTATAAGAAAATAAGACAACTACTAATAGCCAAAGGTCTCATGTTTTCTCAAGGCAAACTCTCTCATCACAATAGTACATCAAGAGAATTATTTATAATTAAATTATCATTTTAATATAAAATATCATCTTTTAAAGGGTTTTTTTTTTAAATGTGTATTTATTGTTATATCAATTTGTTTTCAATTATTTCCACTTTTTAGATATAAAAATTTATTTAATAAATAAATTCATATATTTTAATTTTTAAAATTAAAATATCAATATAAAACTTATTTTTAAACATACAAAAATCATATCTATTTTAATTAATTCTTTAAAATTATGGTGCAAATAATACGTATTTAAAAACTTAATGTATTCTTAAGTCTCCATTAATATATTCTAATATTTATTATTATTTATTTATAAATTTTTATTTATATCTAAATTTATCTTTATTTATTTATTTTTGTATCACCAAAATTCTACAAATATTTTTGAAAAAAAATTTAAAATAGATAAAAAAAAAATTTATGAGTATTTTTTTGAATAAGATTTTTTTCAAATTTAAAATACTATTTGTTTGTTTGTTATTGTTGTTTTTTTTTTTGTTCATTTGTTTATTTTTGTTTCTTGAATATTTTAAATAAAGAATTTTTTAGTTTTAATAGTTTAAATAAATACATAAAAAATCACGTGTATATGCAAATTATATAATATATGAGAGTTACCATTCTTTATTATATTATTTAAAGAAATAGAATATTTTTATTTATAAAAAATATCATAAATAAACCTGATTTTTTTGAATATATTTAGATTATTTTTTATTTATATTTAAGCAAGTTGTAAGATTTTTTTTATTTTTAGATATGTTGTCTTTTTCCAATTTATTGGAAAATCTTTGGATTCAAATATTGTTTACAAGATGTTTGTTTGTTTGTATTTTTTTCAAAAAGAATAATTTTTTATTGTACTTTTAAAGATTTTATTGACATAATATATTATTTGAATTTTTGTATATTACGATTTTTTGAAAATCATGTTGTATTTATAAGGATAGAATTGTATTGTCTAATTCCCATTGTACAAAACAAATTTGTTTTTTAGAAATATATAGAAAAATTTTAAAATCTCTTGCTAATTTAAACAATTACAATGATAAGAATCAATTTTATTTTAAATCTTGTATCGAAAATGTATTACAATAAGATTTTAGCATCCACATATATTTAAAATACATATCAAACTTTCAAAATCTCAACACGAAAGAAATTGTAGATGATTTTTTTTTTTTTTTTTTTTTTTTTTTTTTAAAGCTCCTAACTAAGACATTTCTTTATTTGGTTTTTTTTGGTTTTTCTTTTTTTTCTTTTTTTAAAAATTGTGTATACAAAGCTTGAGAGAATCTATGAAAATCTAATTTGGATTGTTTACAACTATTTTTTAGGGCAAAGAATGACATTGTAACTTTTTGTGTAGTTAGATGGTTTTAATCTATGGTTATTTTAATAGAAATTTAATATTGTGAAATATTTTTCAAATGTTTTTGAATTGTAGTGTAGAACGATAAATATTTTTTGATTGATTCTAAAGCACACAATTTTCTCAAACAAAACTTGTAATTCTTAGATTTTACTCCAAAAATAAGCATAATTTTTCATAATATTTTAGTATTAAAAGGTACAAGTTATAAAAAGTAGCATTTCCAATCATTGAAAGCAACCACATTCAAGGTATTAATTTTAGATAGAATCCTTCCAAGTTGGCGTCAAAAAAGTCCCTTTAATAAAAGTAAGCATTAAGTAAGAAACTCAATATAATTTACTCAATATAATTTTCTTATGAGTTGTGATTGAATATACCCAATGTATTTAAAACAAACAAACAAACTTTAACAAACATTTACGTTTAAATACATTTAAACTCAATTCAGGAACATTAATAACATGTAAAAATTTGCAACAATTTCAAGGCATGCCCAACACACATATTTAACTTAAGGAAAAATAAAATAGGTTAATACAATACCCTAATAAAATATATTGCCCAGAATTTAGGGTTTGCGAATGCGAAGCAGAGGAAAGTGAGCACAAGAGCAAGCGAACGATGGCGGGCTCGCTGGAAGACGGGGTGCTCGTAGCTGCGTAGAAGAGACATTCTTGCGTGGATTTGCATCCACAGTGCGATTCCTTTTCCGTTTGGAGAAGCGGATGAAGCTTGTGGCTTCAATTAGCCAACCAAGGACCTCACAATTGTAGGTCCTGGACCTGCATTTGGCCTTTGAGTGTGGATCTTTGCCTTGCGCGCAAGCTTTCGTAAGCAGCATAGCCTCTGTGAAGGGTCATGCTTCAAGCGTTGTCAAAGCGGCACAGCATGCCAATCTGCGAGGGTTTGGTGCGTTGCTGCGTCATGGAGGCAGCCTTTGCCAAGGAATTGCGGATGGGTTTTCAGTCTCGCTGCCCGCGGCCCTTGCTGCATGTGAATCGCTGCGCGTCATTCGTTTCATCCGCGCCTTCCTCCGCCTCTGTGGCGCGAAAGGTGGGTTGGATTTTCTTTTGGAAGTCGTGTTCGGGAAGTCGTGATTGTTTTCAGCGATGGGTTTGAGTGGGTTGTGATGTGATTTGTTCAATTGGATTGTCTATGGTGAGATTGTTGCTCAGGTTGAGGCGGTGGGTTTGGAGGGTGGCCTAGACTTTAAAGGGACTGTGCCGGAAGGGATTGGGAAGACCAGATTAGATGCGTGGTTGGCAGGACAATTGCCCCTGGTTAGCAGAGCACGCGTCCAAAGCAACATTCGGCAAGGCTCAATCCTCGTCAATGGCAAAGCGATTATCAAGGTTTGTTGCTCTCCTTCAGTAATTCGGTAGATGATCAGGTTGCAGTAGGTGCCAATTTGGTTGGACTCACTGGTTTGGCCCAATTTAAATTTCTAGGATTTTGAGGAGGTTTATGCGAAGTTGCGAGTTGGCGCAGCAGTATCTCCTCGTCATGTTTGTGCGGGCTCAGAATTTTTATTTGTACACAGGGATCGTATGTATTGCGGCCAGGGGATGTGGTGGAGTGCGAGCTTACCGGGTGGGCACCTGTAGATGCAAACCCTGAAGACATTCCACTGGATATTGTATACGAAGATAAGCATGTGATAGTCATCAACAAGCCAGCCCACATGGTCTGTGCTTCGGTCCAAGGCAAACACTTACCCCTACTAGTTGGAAGAAGCTGTATTTTTTTTATTTTTTTTTATTTTTTTTCTTTCTTTTGCAACGAGGTTTCAGCCGACTATTATTGCAAGTTTCGTCCAAGGATGTTCTAGTCCTGATTGTAGAGTTAATTAGTTGTGTATTCTCTTGAATTTGCAGGTTGTGCATCCGGCTCCTGGCCATTCAGAGGGGACGTTGGTGAATGCCCTTCTACACCATTGTGAACTGCCTGCGATGAGATACTCCAGTGGTTCGACACCAAAGAACGCGCTTGAGTCTCCGTCTGTAGATGATTCTGAAGAAATCGATGAGGAAGCCTTAGTTGGTACTGTAACCACTCTGTCTGGTCCTCCTCCTGTTATCAGGCCTGGAATTGTACATCGTCTTGATAAGGGCACGAGCGGACTTCTTGTTGTGGCCAAGGTACCTTGTTGTTCTGAAGTTGTCATCTTTAAACTGATCAGTAATGCATATTGCACGCTCAGGATCTTTAGCATGTTATAGGTCAATGGAGTATTAACAACTCGTCCACAATTCAATTTAGAAAACGTTCTCCTTTCCATGTACATTACCTATTTTCTGGTTCTCTCCGAATCTTTACCTTTTCTACTTCAAATTCGGTAAAGCATTGAAACCGCAGAGTTGTTTTGAGTTAATTAATTTATTATTATTATAATTAATATTCATTTTTTGTTATAGGATGACATGTTCTGTGTTGAGATATTTTACGGCTTCAGCCGTTGAACTTGCGGCTTCCGCCAATACTAAGACTCTACTTGACTTTTGACCACTCAGGATGAGTATACGCATGCTCATTTGTGCGACCAATTCAAGGCCCGTAGTGTGCGTCGCTCTTATGTAAGCCTGACCTGTGGGGTGCCGTCCTTGAAATCTGGTAGAGTAGAGATTCCTATTGGTCGGGATCCTCGTGATCGGAAAAAGATGGCAGCGATTTCTGCTTCTGGAAGTAGCGCAGGTAGATCCAAGTCTCGGACAGCAGCAAGCAGGTCCAGTTTCTTTCAACTTTGCTCTTTGGCTCATAAATTTTCACAACCGGTTTCTCTCGAAGTTTTAATAAGAACAAAATCATGTTGAGTACACGGGCATGAAGCCGCAGCAAGCATTGGGAAGATCGAACTCAAGTAGTAGCTAATGGCGTTCATTACAGAAATACGAGTTATGAACGTGTGTTCAAGTGTAGACAAAAAGATATACGAGTTCGTAGAAGTTTGATGAGATTTGTTCTTTATTTCATTTGTTTTGTGGAAAATAATTATGTCTCTTTTAGGAGTGCTCGAAGTTTTCACATCTCGTTGTAAGAAGTGAAGCAATCTATCTTATGTTTTTTAAAAATGAGTTTTTATTAATTTAATCTCTAATCCTCTTGTTTGGTTTTAAGGATAATTCGGTCGTATTTTCAGGTTCCGTGTGCTTGAAGTTCTAGCGAATGGTGGATCTGCTTTGGTGGAATGGCGGCTTGAAACAGGTCGAACTCATCAGGTAGCTTGTTCTTGTTTTTTTGTTTTTTGGACGCTTTCATATTCACTGTTTCTGCTAACTATCGAGACTTCTATGCTGTGTGATTTCCCGTGAATTCGAAGTAAAGTGCAGTCTGAAAATGTTGAGATCTCAATAGATTCCAAGTATACGCTACATGGTAACCACTATTATCCACATAATGAAGGAAGTGATCATGGTGCTGACCAAATGAGAACGTGCAGATACGAGTGCATGCCCAATATCTTGGCTATCCATTGATGGGAGATGATACATATGGGGGTACTCAGGGTGCTGCATTAAGCCAACTTTTACCAAAAACACTGGCAGCTAATCATGGATCTCTGCGGAAACTTATTTCTGGCTTACAGCGGCCATGTCTTCATGCTATCACCCTAGGGTATGTAATTTTATGAAGTTATGCATTGCCTGCCTTCTACCCATTAGTTTTTGGTTATTTACTTTTTGTTCTTCGTCGTTTTCCTCAATTTCCTTTCTGTGACATTCCACTTCTCATGTAGTCTATTCTCGCTATAGCTACAACAGCTGCTTCGTTTGGCAGTAAAAACATTCTCTCCACCTCGTTTGTTTACATTATTGTAAGATCTAATTCTATCGCCGTGTACTGATTGAGACGTGACAGATTTCAGCATCCGAGGACGTTAGAGGAACTCGATTTCAAATGTGCGCCACCTCAAGACTTTGAATCTGCATGGCGGACTCTGCGCCAAACGTCTTAACTGATTGTAGAGTCCCAGTTTATCAGCACAGAACGAAAAATTTGGGAGTGCCCGAGTTGTAAACTACTTTCGCTGCCTTCACTATTTCTGAGGGTTGAGGTATTCTCTGGCCCATTATTTTACGTTCAGAAGTATGGTAAGCTTGCGATGTTCTACCAAGTTTATTTTTGGAATTGATGCCAAGTTTGACCCGAAGCTTTGGAGCACGTTGGAGCAGTGAGTTTTGAATACCATTTGAAGGCGATGCTCTTGGTTTCTATCGCTGATGGAACTGCAAACCAAAGGATTATGCAGTTAGATTACATAGTCAATGCAATACAATGCGGAAAAAGAAAACAGTTGTTATTCTTGTGAAATTTTTAACTTTTTCATGGCTGGAAGATTCCTGCATATCACAACTGCAGGGAGCACCAGAGTTTATCAATGTTCAGCAGAATCACTTGCATATTTCGTGTCCTCACTGCCTGAAACACTTTTGCTATGGATTGCACTGCTAGCTAGATGCCTAACTATATAATTATAATTATATTATATTATATATTATTATTATTCTAATTATATAATTTTTCATATTTACTGTGACTTCATTGACAATTTTGGACTTAAATGTAGAAAGGGTTCAAATTTTTCATATTTACTGTGACTTCATGAATCCTTTCTGCATTTAAGTCCAAAATCTGTCCTGGATACCTTTGAATTGTATGTTGTTTTGTAACCATCAGAAATTGGATTAAACCATGTAATAACAATTTAAAGTGAATATTCTTGAAGTAATTTGGCTCTTGCAACAGATTGGAGTTCTATATATTGTTTAAATGCAGTAATTTATTAAATTTGGCTTGCTTGGAAAAACAAAAAAAAAGTTGTAGATACCAAAAGACTGTCAGACTACCAAGGGAATTTTTTGATTATTCCTTGCAATCCTGGAAAAACAAAAAAAAATTCGAGGCGGTTGGAGGCCCTCAATTAATTTGGTTGCATCCTTCAATAAATTTAAATTGTGTAGTAGAGTCTTGTCCCACACGACACATTTTTTCTCTTCATGTGCCAAACTAGGCCTAGCTCTTTATCTTTCATCCTAGAGAAAGTTTCGATGTTAAAGCAAACTTTTCAAACTTATGACTATCTATTATTTTAATAATTTTTCAAATGACAATAAGTTATTGTTACAAGTAAAATATCCTTAATGTATTCAAGAAACAAATATAAAAGAGGAAGAAGGAAGGTAATTGATAACTTGACAATTTGGAAGAACAATTCTCATGGCAAGTTGTGAGTGTAAAATTCACTCTTCAATCCAAATTACAAGATGGGCTCAATTAAGAGTTGCTTATAATTGGTGGTATGAAGTGGAAGTAACAAGAACGAGGACAAAAGAAGCAAAACACAAGAAACAAGTGCAATCAAGCAATTGTATACTGTAAAACTAGTCATAGTTTGTTCATTGAGATTTTACCAAATAAAAAAGTAAAAAATAAAAGTAATAAATATATTTTTAAAAATTCAATTTTTTTATCTTTTCAATGGTGTAAGAAACATGTAAATCCGAATTACTATGAATAAGTCATAAAGGCTTAAAAATAACAAGTAAATAAATGAAAAATTAAGTAAATAATTTTACCTCAAAAATAACATGTTTAAGAAATAAAGAATTCAAGCCTCACCAAGGCTCATACTTAGTGTATATTGGGTATTAAGAAAGGCCTTGAGGCCTTAGTCTTATCTTCCTAACTACTTTCAAGGTGCTACAATCCAAGACTTGTGCACCTCTCTTCTTACAAGGACTACACTAGTTGTTGGTCTTCCTATTTTCTACTAGTAAAATCCATAATTTTGCATTTCTAAAAATATCCAATTAGTTTAGGAACTTTTTGTGGCCTTCAAATCTTGCTCCATTTCTTTATAATAGCTACCGAAGTAGTAAAATTTATTTTTACCAAAGTCTTAGAAATTGCTCTAAAAATTCTTAAAAAAATCTGATGCACAAACTTTGGTACATCACCAAGCCCGCGACAATGTCACATATGTGCACTTGTTGGGAGTTGAGATCCACTACCACAAATTGCCACTCTTGGTCTAATCATCCTGTGTCACAAATAAATAAGTAGGAGGTCGAAGCTATCTAGTTGTTCAGACTCTGCACAGTGATAGTAGTGACTTCTTTGAACTTGGTGCTCTTCTGAGTTGTTATTGTAGAGGAGAACCTTGGAGGTAGTCTTTGCAAACTGGTAATCTCTTCTAACTCAGGAACTTCAAAGTGGAGAAATAATGGATTCTCTTTGTGATGTAGTGGTGGTTGTTCAGCAACTAGGTGTCACTGATTAGTAAGGAACTTCAAAGTGGAGAAATGGATTCTCTTTGTGATGTAGTGGCGGTTGTTCAGCAACTAGGTGTCACTGATTAGTAGCCAAATTCAAGCCGGTTTGTCCTAGGATCACCGTTGGTTTATGCTAGGATCAATGTTAGAGCCAAATTCAAGCCTTGGTGAGCTGAGAGGCACTCTAATCATGCAACATGACCTATTGGACGTCCCTTTGGGATGCTCTGATCAACATCAATTACAACCAGGTGTTGTTGGATTTCTCCTAAAATCCATTATTCTTCTAAAACAATCACAAGACGAGGAGATGGCAGCATTTCGGCGACTTTAGGTACTTCATCCAGGCCGATGAAATGCAGACCCTTCACGCTGTGTGCTGTGCGCCCACCAAACTGCATCTTCTACACCGTATCGCAACACAGCCACGAATCGCCACTACTACATTGATAGCACAATTGCGGTTCAATTATCTGATTGCACAGCAGCCACAACAAAGAGCCTTCGACACTCCACCGTAGATCCACTAGCAAGCGAATCCAAGAAGAGCGAAATGGCTCTCACTTGCTATGATCGCATAGCCGCTCTATCGATGGAAACAAAGTCACGAACAAGGCACCAATTCTAGTGTTGGACCTCCAACGCAAAAAACAACAAAACCTTGATCATTCCCCAAACCCAACTGCTCATGAGTCAAGCTGCCGCAAAAGTCAACACGATGAGGATCCACACTCGGAGTTAGACGTCCTCACTCCACGAACGCAACACATCAATATCGCAATAAAAGAGAAATAAACGGCCCACCGCTCTACTAGCTTGAAAAAAACGTCAATGATGAACAGCCTCCCTGCAACGCCACTGACTTGCTGCAGATATCGCAACACCGAGGTGACACTCGTGAATGCTACACCGCAGCAAGAGAAAACACAATGTCGACTTCTACACCGCAGCGCCAATCCGCATGAAAAAGCAAAAAAAGAAAAACCACAAAAAAAAGCTTTTGCCGCTCCAGATTATCACCACCAACCCCAGTCAACCACCCCGACTTGAGCCACTCCAATGCGCTTCTTTGAACGACCAAAGGTACAGCACTTGCTGCAACGGGTTCCATAGAGCTTCCGCAAGCTCACTCCAAATGCCAAGCCGCAAAGGAAGGGACCTTAAATCCTTCCTCCACGTTCGAATCCAAGCTTCGCTGCAAGAGTCCTGCTCACCGAGCCTCGTCGGAGCGCCCGGAGCTTGTGTAGACGAGAGAAAAAAAACCAAAAGAAAGAGAGAGGAGGTCCGGGGCGGCCCAGACCCCTATCCGCAACGAAGCTGTCGGAATTTGGGGGCAGCCTCTCGCCCCCTATCCATCTTTTTCTTTATTCCGTTTCTTTTTCTTTTTCTTTTTCTTCTTTTTTTGCTTTTCTTTATGTTTTTGGATGGTTCTGAATCAAGGATTCTACCTCATCTTTTAATCTAATTTGAATCTTTTGATGTCTATAAAAACCACTTCTATCACATCAAAACTTATATTAGTTAAATTTAGAAAAGACTATATACTTTGAAATTCTTTTTTAAGGAATTTTTGCAAAACACATATGCTAGCCGCTACATCCTATTATTTTCTATTTATCTCAAAATTCCTGTATTAATTCCTTAAACTAATGACTTTAAGGACCATTAGTGAAGTTTTTTGATTTAAATCCATAAGTGAATCAATTCTATGACATACAATAGACTATGATTATTTTATAGAATGTATAATTTTTTATTATATATATATATATATATATATATTTTTTTTCTTCTTCTTTATCTCTTATTTATTTTATATCTCACTTTATACCAATAATTACAAGCAACTCTTAATTAAAGTCATCTTGTAATTTTAATGAAAAATAATTTTTATCCTCACATTTTATTACAAAGTATGATGCATGTTGGCATGAATATATATAATCCATTGTATAAGCTTAGAACATATGTTATATGATTTTGAATCATTTACATATATAATTTATTCAAAAATTAGTTAATTAGATCATTTTGCAATCAAAACACAAATATAAATTTATATGAATTACTTATTTTATTGTTATAGTGCCAATAAGTCTATATGTTTTTTTTTTTTTTTTTTTTTTTTTTTTTTTTTTTTTTCTTTTCTTTTCTTTTCTTTTCTTTAGTCTAAAAAGGATTATGTGGAAATTTTGAAAATCTCATATCTTTTAAAATATATATTTTCTAAAGATTTTAAACATGACATTAGTATCAAAAGCATCAAAAATAGGAAGAAAATTCAATATAAAATTTTATAAGAAAAAAAATAATAAAAAATAATTTAAAAAAATACCATATTAAAGGCTCTATATTTAAAAATTAAAAAGCTTGTAGAGCATTCTAAATCCACGATTGCATTTGTAGACCTCTAAAATGGAAATGTAAGTCAAATAAAAACCTATAAAATCTTTTTCATTTTCAAAATACATTCAAATTTTAAATTTATCAAATTTCTAATATCTACAAAACTATGCATTTTAAAAAAAAACTTAAAAACCTATTTGCAATAAATAATCATTAAATGGATCTACTTCTACTTTTAAAACTTAAAAAATAAAAAATTGAATTATGGTAAAAATCACAAAGTCTAAGTCATCATTGTTATATATTATAAACTAAAAACTTGTAGAATAAGCTATTTATAATGGTAGAATTATAATAAAAAAATAAAAAAACTAAATCAAATTAAAATCCAAAAATGAGCAAGTCAAAGAATTGAAGACACATGTGTAATTCTAAATCTTAAACTTAAGATTCTGAAACCTTAAAATTATAAATTTTGAACCTATAGTATAAATCTTATTTTTAGACACATCCATATAATCATTAATCTTAAAATCTAAACATAGTCTATAGAACATGTCCTAATACATTAAAAAAATTGATCATAAAGATTCATTAAAGAAAATTTTATACATCTTCTATTTGTGTGAAAAAAATATTAACTTTTCTTGAATAAGCAATAGGGTAAAGTAGCAAGTGTATGGTGCATCAACTTCAACAAGTAAGAAAATAGAAAAATATTATGTAAGACATTGATTTTAATAATTAAATATAAATTATTATTATTAAAAAAATATATTCTA